GAGGATTCTGACTCTGACACCCACCCAAACAGGGCATGGACTGGTATTGAGATTGCACTTGACTTACTGCACCAGGAATCCCTGAGAGAAAGTTATCGCCCTTGACTGAGGCTTTGTGTCAGCACTGAATGGCAAAGCCTGGTATGTTTGGTTGAGGTGATGATACGCTCAAAGCTAAGCCAAGGCCATGCAAGGCAGGGATGCTGTGAGCATCCTGTTAGGCTCAGTATGAGCATGTGCTATGACAGCAAGTAAAGAGCTTGATGAACCAGCCTGGTCCAGTTCATGAGCTGGGTTCATGGCCTTGAGTTCACAGTGTCCTTGCAGTAGCATTACATTAACAGTTTCTGATGTAGCCTGAGGTGCATCACCAAATTATAGAAGAATATGTAACTGGATGGGAGATGTGCCACAATAGTTCATAGCAGATGGCACATGGATGCCAATGTCCATGGATGTGGGGATAAAAAAAACTATTAGTTTGCCTGAGCTACCAGTCAGTTTTGTTTAATTTGCTGCTTGCAATAATTTCAGTTTCCTGATCACAGTTTATTTAGTAATTGCAAGAAATGCTGTAAAGTTATCTTTTTGTTCATAGCGCTTCATGACCCTACCTATCAAGACCAATATATCTATCATATCTACCAAAATAGATCAGTTACCAGTTTACACTAAAGACCATTTGTGTATTAAGCATGTCCTACAGCAAGGACGGAAAGTGAAGTTTTATACTGTGTTTTAATCAATTTAACTGGAATGTTACACTAGAATTTGTCCCGATAGAATTAGAAACTACTTTGAAGTTTTTTTTTGGACACTTCACGGGTCTCTGTGTATCCCATGCGCAAAACAATAAGCAAACCCTCAAATAAATGTAACCAGAATACCTATACGTTTCTTCACCATATTGAATTCATTCTTTCTTGACCAAGGTAGCAGAACTTCTGAGTGGATGCACCCTCCCATAGCAAAGTAGACACTTCCGTGTCCTTTTTCTTGCGCGGTTTAAGGGCGCTCATATTATTACACAAGAACACAGCACAAACCATTGTAAGTAACTGAGTTAAATCGTTATTTATCTATTCTGTGAACTTCACACTGTGTTTCTTCACAGGTTTGTTTCAACAGTTTTGTTACTAGCTTTCTATACATTTGAAAATTTTGTGAATCATTTACATCAATCGGGTTGTTTTACTGGGCAAAGCATTTTCTGGTTACATTGATAACACCTCAAATTGCAAGTGTGTTGGTTTTCCAAACAAACCCTATGACTCATTTTACAGAAGACGTCATATTTAGTACCAGTCAACTGTAGAACGCATTCATCTGTAGTGATGCAATTTGCTTATAGTAACATATCTGCGAACATTTTTGTTCCAACTAGGAAGGAGAAATTTTGTAGATTTCATCCCCTGGGATGCAGTAATATCGTGCCTAGCCTCCGAGTAATTCTAGGTACTACTACCAGACATAAGTACAGAAGTATTGCACCCATATACACAGAACTGTTACTGCCTCTTTTTCATTCCAGCCTTGCCGTGGATGAAATAAGCATTTTGGTCTCATGCTGGGTTCTCAGGCAGCTGGAAGACAAACCATGCACTTGTGTAGCTGGGGGAGGGACAGTATGTCTCAGCTCGCCCCTTTCACCCCAGTTACTTCCTCACCACTACTTTTCCTGTAGCAGACGGCTGGTGGTTCAATGCATAAGGATCATTAACTAACAACTGAGCATCTTCCCTCTCTGTTTAAGCTCTATGTAGTTGGGTAAGAGGCTTTGACTGAGTCCAACCCAAGTAGTATGCATCTATTATCAGGGCTTGTATTGGGCTTTATCTGGCGAGGGCTCAGCCTTGCCCTGGACTTCATCAATCATTTAGATCAGATCAGATCCCCTTTATACAATCACGCCTCATTAATCGCATCAGAACTAGGCTGTGCAGCTCGGAATACCTGTACACTTAATGCTTCAGTGCTTGAAGTTGCTGGCAATAGAAAAAAAGTCCTTAATAAAAAAAGTAATGAATAAATTAAAATCCAACGTCAAGATTTAACAATTTTATAATTTCAATCTTAAATAACACAAGTAATAAAACGTGTTTTTCATTATTACTTTATTTCTCCTCTCTAGCATATCCATTTTGATAATTTTCTTAAAGGTTGAGGTAAGTTATTACAGTAAATACTCAACAATACTGAAACACTGGGATGGTCTTGAACACTGCCATAAAGTAAGCCGCAGGCCGCTTCATATCTTTCTTTCCTCTTCTCGGAAATAAAGTCACGTTTGTTTTTAAATGATTCTCCTGTGAAGCCAAATGGCGACTGATTGTTCTAACTCTTATATGATCTTCAATGTACAAAGCTACATTGAGGCGGCTCACCTTTAAATAATTTGAAGCATCTTTATGAAGTTTACAAAATAGCAGCAAGGCTGCAAAAGCCAACTTCAGATCGCCATATTGTGAGAGCCTGTACTGACGTTTCAGTGAGCTGGTGAACTTCAAATCATCTGTTAACGCCCGGGATACAAAATGTTAGCTTATTCCCCTCCAGGACAATCTACTTTAATAGATGTTGAGCTGTTATTCCAAAATAAACTAACTGTCGAATCCTGATATGGTTATAATCTACGTTTTAATTGCAAGCTAATTTATATTCACAAAGATGATTCGTTCTTTCAAATACGTCTCTAAGTCCAAAGATTTTGGTTAAGTAGCGTGCAAAATTAAAGGAGAGGAAAAAGGGGAGCTGGGTCTCCACTTAAACGTTTTTAATAACGATTGTTTTCTGTGGAGCAAGCTCACACGAACTCCTGGAGGAATTAAAGATCTGATTAACGTTATATTTTCCACCAGACGGAATGGAGCAATAAAGCAAACAGCGCGGAAATGGGACTTCACCCATCAATTAGATATCTATTAGCAGCCAATGCAGGCTTCGCCACAGGAAATGTCACTTCACAGGAACATCCACTGCTTTCACTTTCTCGTCAAATTAAACAATTCTTCATGGTTCGAAATATAACCCAAACAACCCCTTTGTTTTTAGCACGGCACCTGCTTACGACGCCCTCCTTAAAAAAAATGCACGACAGTGCAGTACGATGAGGTTCCCCATGCACCTGCACAACAGATTTGCCTCTAATGCACCAAAGAAAATCATCTCATGCATCCTTTCTTTCCATTAATGTCGAAAAACCTAATTGCTTCACCATTTCCAACTGCAGCTCCTCTACTGTGATGTACAAAGTCTTGTGTATCCCACTACTGGCGGTCAATTTTATTATTTACTACTGTTTAATTGAAAATAAACCATTTACAACAGTCTAGATGTTGAGTAAGCAAATATCTTACCATACACGTGAGTGTCAAACCGTCTAAGGGCATTGGAGTAGCTTTATTAACTTCACAGCAAACTTTTTAACTAAGAAAAGAGAATCTTAAAATGAAATGCAATTACATTTAAATCACTCAACTGAAACTAACATTTCTTATGGTCAGTACTCACCTAAATTCTGTTTTGTTTGATGAAGTGAAATGCATTGGTTAAAACCTCTCAATCAAACTTCAAAGGGACGAGATGAAGCTGGCTCAGTTATATCTAACTGCTGCCGTCAGTGCTTTAAACCTTTGAAGAGCAAATGGCAACCTTTTTAAACTTTGAATTTGACAATAGCGTCTTTACACGAATACTGCACTAAAGATACTCACCTTTTGTTTGGTGTTCATTGAAAGTCTTTTTTCTCGCTCCATATAACTAAAATCAAGTACTTTTCACACAAAAAAATTCCCAACAACAGACGGAGATCATTTATCATCAACGATAGTTTGGCAGTATGACAACTGTGTCTCTGCTTTACAGTGACAAAGACCGAATCTGCGATAAACTAAGCAAAAAAAAATCAAGGAACTCGCGAAGCAGAAAAGTTTGTGTATAAAGAAAGTACTGTTGCTCTATTCAAGGCAGTGAATTGAAATGGATATTTACAAATAAAACCAGCTGAAGTCTCTGGTCAATGCATAAAAGCTGCAAAGCAGCTAAGATGGACATGCTCTGTGGTTAATATTATAATTTTCATAATGCTCTTTTATGTTGCGCTAGACTCCTCCGGTGAGGAGCCCGCAGAGCTGGTCAAAGAGTCTTTGAGAATGAGCAGAGGCGGGCAGCTCGGAGCTGCGAACCCCCCGCCGGAGTGAGTGGCACTAAGTGCCCCGACCGGGGCTGCTCTTCCTCTGCCTGCAGCACCTCGACTGCGGCAGGAGCCTCCTATTTAAAATGCGCATTTCCAAGTGCAATTCACCGCGACCGCAAACACCTCGCCACTGTTCCCCCTTCCTCTTTCTCTCTCCCCCTCTCCCCTCGGTACCTTGGCAATTATCAGTACCCTTTTCTCATTTTAATCTATTCATTTCTTTCTCCCTGTAGTGTGCACCCTTTGCTGTTTCCTTCCCTCTCCCAGTTCCCTCTGCTCCTTGTGCATCTCCAATGGTCGCCTTGTAGCTAATAATCTGATTTGCTTTTCTATGTATTATTTAATTCGTAGCCCATGAAATATTTCTTCTGTCAAACATTATGTAATCGTTTTTATCCCTTTCCCAGTTTGTTGTTGTTTATGCTATTTTAGTTTTTCACTGCTCAGCTTCCATGTGGATTCTTCGTGTTTTCATCTCTTGAACTCTGGTCCATTTTATTGTATGGTTTGCTGGTCACACTTCCCTCCCACGTGTTCTGGATCTTCCATTTCCTTTGCCTTCATACGTTGTGCCTAGTTTTGTTTCTGTAACATTATTAAGCATCGTTTTTCCATTCGGCACTTTCTTTCATACCTCTTTCCTTACAAGCTCACAGTAAAGCCATGTCAGATTCACAATCATATAATGTGTGACCTAGATCCTTAAAAAGACTTTGTAACTCTCAGAAAGTAAAGATCCAGTTTTGTGACTGGATGTGATTTATTGGTGTGATGCGCTCAGGCATTTTTCTTCTTAACTGCTTTGATAAGCTACAAGAATACAAACTTGGAGCTGGGATTACATTCATTGATACCGTGTTGCTATAGTGTGTCATTATCTATGGCAGCGTGGTAATCGTTTCAAACTTTGTAAAAGATGACCCCTTTATTCTAATTCATGTCCGGGCTTCTTTTGTCCTTTATTTTCTCGGAGATTTAAACACACATAAGATACAATTGAGTTGTTTCAAACGAAGAATGCCGGAATAACTAAAACTTTCGATGCAAAATGTCTAACAATTTTAAGAAGGATGCTTCAATGAAGTATTGTCATCTGGATCAGAACTGTTTAAAGTTGCAACACGTCCGCCCAGTGCACCTTCGCGGTTAAATCTTAATTACCTTAAACAAAATGAATAAAGTTTCCAACACGTAAGATTGGAGCGAGGCGCCTGGACTGGTCATTTAAACGCTTTCCTGGAGGCCAAACAGGGCACAAAGATCAGCATCAAAGGAATGTATATACATATACATATATAACGAGTATATCCATAATCAATGATAGTGAAACCAAACTAAAACTCTTGTTTTATTTGCCTGAAAGGCGCTCCATTTATCATTCACAAGACAGCTTCAATGATCTTTATCTGCTTTGCCCAGATTCTGACCCAAATTCAGCATTTTTATGGAAAATTGCAGTCAGTTTGATTGATGAAATCTAAAGGCGCCTAAAACGGCACTAAAGATCCCCAGCAGTGGAACTCCAACTGAGTGTATCAATGTTGGTATTGTCCCTGCAGAAAAAAAAAGTGGAAAACGGGTAAAAAGTTAGCGATTTTTTGTTAAAAATCCACAAACGTCAAGAGGAGATAACAAGCTTATTATTCATGTTCACGCGTGCACACAGGCATATAATCCCTGTGTGTATTCGAAATATATTTCTGCCTGCCCCGCATATAAACATATTTATACAATGTAACTGTTTTTGTGGAATCGACAACAATTTTCATTGGACTGTGACTATTCCCTTAAGGAAATGTCTGAGTGTATTGAAAAACATAATTGTTCGGTTCAATGATATTCTCCCCGTAATTGGTGATTACTGTTTCTCAAAGAGTACATAGAAACACCAAAAGGGTCGCCTTCAATGATAATAATTAAGCTTATTGTTTTTATATCGTCCATCGGTCGCTATATAAATAATGATGGACCGAGAATGTGCGTATTATTGCATGGTCTATAAGATACTATCGAAATTGTTGGTTGCTCTGGGATGCTGTAAAGTCGGAGTTGGACCTTACGGATCATTTGGTCAAAGTAATGTAAAACGCTAAAATTCGACTCTTGAGATCTGATTGTTTTATATAAATGTGGAAATTCGCTATCCTTCACTGAACGTCTCCCCAAACGCTAAACCAGCACTTTTATAAACAAACGAGCATAAAAATTCTGTAATAGTCATTTCAATTACTTAAAAATATCTAACATACTTTTAACTTGTTAATCACTTAAGAAAACGGTACCAAAGATAACCTGCGAACGTAACCTCTGTAGCTTCAGTGGGCTGCAAGTTGGGTTGTAGCAGTTAAAATAGATTTCTAACCTCTAGTATATTTGAGCTTCGAATCTGGAACAAAGCAGTCAGTATTCCTAGTGTATATCATGCAGATAAACTATTCGGCGACCCGGTAATGCACTGATTAACCGGATCGTTACCGTGCATGTCTTGTCTTGTTTGCTTTGATATATTGCTGCAGAATATTGACACCTGCCTAATGGTTCTAAATTGCTACCTCTTAATAAAGGGAACATAGCTCCCAGACAAGCTGATAGACTGCAAAGTTGATGAATGTAATCCTACCGCGGGGGGGGGGGGGGGGGAATTTGGAGGCTGTCTCTTGTCACATTACCAAAGGGGTTTCAATAAATCTTATTTAAGTTTTAACCAGTTCTGCCCTTCGACTGCTTCGGGCGGGGCGGGGGTTCTGTGTTAAGAGTAAGAGTGTGTTGGTGTGCCAATGTTCAGGAACAGCTGCTCCTAAATACAGACAAGCTCTTGTCAATTAAGGCATTGACAAGCAGGTCCACACCAGCCCTGGGGCATTGAGCAGCCAGCAGTGTGCAGCCCCTACAATTAGTATCAATTTTTACAGGGACCCTGAGGGCACAAATGCACAGCCAAGTAAGAAACAAAACAACAGGCAAAGCCAAACCCAGAAACTGCCGGAAACTCGAATGATGCTGAGCAGATTACGAGGGGCCATTTGTGAATGTGTTCTCTCCAGAGCTCATGCAAAGACTTTTCAGTGCATGTCCTCATTCGATCTGCCAGGCTCCTAGGCTGTGGCACGCACCATGTACCAGTGAAGAAGAATGAAGACATTATTTATCATCTACGAATAAATGTTCGCCCCTTCCCGCGTCCTTTGTGACCAGTGTCACCTCCAGCAGCTGGTGGCATGCAACTCTCCCATGGTCCTGGCCTTTGGCCCGAGAGGATTGGACAAGGGATACCGCTCTGAGGAGCACAACTGGGATGCCTCAGGTCAGAGAGGCCAAGCTTCCAGCAGGACTACAAATACACCAGGAACTGAACGAAACAAAACCCAGAGGGACACGGAGGCCTGGGGGATCATTAGTGAAGGTGTTTGTTTAACTAATTAGGGGAACTGGTAGTTGGGGGGGGGGGGGGGGGGGGGGGGGGGCAAGTGGCATGTTCGACATGATACCGCTGGGGGAAGGCAAGGTTCAGATTGCAAGAGAACAGGCAACATCACAACACTGACTAGGTGACCCTGTGAAGTTCAAGAACAGAACAAACAGCACATGCCAAAGGGAACAGCAGTCAACTGGAAGGCAACAAAGCGCATGACATTGAAAAAAAAAGATCCAGTATTAAATATGGGAAAGTTAGGTATGGGGCAGAGGTCAAGAAAAGTCAACAAGAGAGCAGGTTTAATGAATGAAGGAATTTAATATCAAAAATACATAAATCTTCAAATGAGGCCAACGACATTATGAACACAAAAAAGGACGAGTGTCCGAGTCAACACTGATTTGATAATAGCAGGGAAAAGGATTGCTCCACCTTGTTAACATGCGATGTAAAAAGTTAACAAGGGATAAAAAGCTTTGAGTAGTCTGAAGGATGACAGCATACAAATGCATGCACGTAAACTGTGCTTCATATAAAACAAACAGCAAAAGGCAATTTGAAAATAATACACAACTTATAAATTATTGTACCAAGAGAAATTATTGAGAAATCTGAAACAGATGAAACGAAAATCACCAATGAGTTTTCAACCCATCACAAACCGGTGGGGTGAAGATTTTTTAACAGTTTGACGCGTGCCACCGGACGCACCTGATCGAGTCAAGGCAATATTGAGGTTTGAATGAAAATAAGATAAAACACTGGTAGTGCTGTTAAAATATGCCTGTACTATTGAGGGGGGTGGGGGGTGGTGTGGTGGGAGCTGCGGCCGCAAGAGTTTGCTTAAGAAGTTTGAGTGTCCCTCATGGTTAGGAATGAAGTGAGTCCTGTTCAGTGAACGGCTCTAAACGGATCCGATTAAACGAGTTGTAAGAGCAACACATCTGTCTGTGTACACCTGCTGATGCTCGCTGCAGGGTCATGAATAGCCTCGCCTCTCTATTTGAAAAGCCATACAAGTTCCTGCTTCTATGACTTGATACACTGCCTCGGACACAGCGCACAATATTCCTATTTCCCAGTGTAATTCTGGGGTGCAATATCTGTTAAATACGGAAAGTTACAGATTAGATCATTTGGGTGGTATGTTCCATAGTGTGCTGAGGTCAGTGGCAGTCAGTCCATCCATTAGGAGACAGTAATTGCCTCAGGTCTGACAGAATGTCGTGCACTTCTGGAGGCGCCATCAATCTCCATCCAGTTATCCCATTGTGCACGGCTCACTAATCCAACTCATCAATTCAACATTTTACTTATATTTTGGCCTTATCATCAATAGCTGAGCAAGGATTTGTCTATACAACGCTAATGTTTTGTTTTCTTTTTTTCGTCTAAGCATAAAGTCACAACAATCCTGACTGTCTTTTCTTCTGGTGCGCTGTGTATCTGTCAGTTTTATTTACTCTGAATTGACTTTGCCGTATATAACCTTTTTCACTTGACTTTCCACCGTTTTCCCCGGGTTTTTCACCTCTTCAATTTATCTTTACCTTCCGTGTAATTTCCTTCTTCTTTTAAATGTTTTTCGGTATTTTAATCGGAGTACACCACATAACTTTTTAAACTTCCAGTCTCCACACATCTCACCATCTAGTTTCCCTTACCCCCTCAGTCTCCACATTTCCAACCATTTCTGTCTCCTTCGTTCTCTTGCTTCATATTTCTTCATAAAAATGTGATTATTAGAGAAACCCTTCCTTTTCTGACAATTTAATAGTACAAACTAATCATCTGCATGACATACTCCATTCATCTACCCAGGAACCGAAAACAAAGAACGGCTTTTCTTTATGAATGTCCAATTCCCTGTCTATTTTAGGACGAATTTTAGGTCAACAACTATATACAATGCACCCTTATGTGCCTAACTGATCATGTTTATGGACCAATGTTTCCTATGTATTAATGAGAGTTTATGCTGGTCTGGAACATGATGTAACCTGCGACCAAATAAGAAAGTGAACTGTTCACTCTTCCAACAATTTGTCAAATGCACTTATATAATGTATGGCTTCTTTACAATAAATATTTTACAGTAAAATCCCTCGTCTGTTACATACTCAAACTGTTTATGGTTTAATGATGGACTGTTAGTCAAACAGCTCAATTTAGCAGTGGTTTCAAGCGGTTCTTGAAGCATTTTTCCGAAGGGAATCGCCAGCATAGAATTATTCCAACGGGACTTCACCTCAAGGAACTCTCCAATAACGTCAATTCTTGCAACAGTCGATTACGGGATAATTTTTAATATATATGCAATAAATGTTCACTTTGTTACAATGAATGACAGAAAATAATATCGGCAAATCTTAATATACATCTATTACTGACAAATGATCTACACGCATGGTATATTTAACTTTGATTAATTTATTTGCAGATTATTTTTGATAAAGCAATAAGTATTACGATGAGCCTGACATTTGCTCTTCACTGGGGGCACATAGGCGAATATCTCTCATTAAAGTGAGATGATGAAGCTGTTTAAGCGTTATTAATAATTAATTGCTTGCAATTAATTTTCCACATTGCTTTGCAAAAAAGAAAAATAATCAATTTTTTATAGAGATTGACCAAACCCCAATGAAACCCAGGGAAATTGACAAGGAACATCTTTATTCACTACACATGCGGCTCTAAGTTTCTCCACCGTCTAATATAAACAATGAGTATGTTTATTTATAATATTGATATGTTTGAAAACACTTCAATGCAGCATTGCACACAGAGAAAATAAATGTATATAGACACACAGTTAGCAATCGGGACAAAGAATTCAAAGCGATAACATAAGCAGGGGCTAGGCACAGGACAAAAAGAAATAGCAGTCTCCACAGCAGAATCGGAGTGGGGAACTGAACACCTGCATTCCTGAGAAATCTGACTTCCGAACTTGAGATTGGAATCGGTTGATTTACGAGAAGGGGGTTAATGGGGCTGAGAGCATTTTCCGCGCCAAGTTCAATGCTGTACACGAACTAATGAGAAATGATGTCCATCGCATGAAACACAAATAAACACTGCAGCTTACTTTCTGACACACGTGTTTGACAAGTTGTCATGTGCTTCCATAATTTA